AAGGAAAAAGTGAAAGTTCATGTCAAAATAGAGCATTATCCATGATTTGTCCCTACTGGCACTGCTATTCGGAAGCGAGACGTAGCTGCTTTCCGACACGAGATCCACCGACCGCATGAAATTTATTAAACATTCGGCCTACACCTGTTTAAGCGGAGGGATTTGACTGGAGTCCTAGGCCCCCGCAAGGCTGAGTTTTTGTACAGAACATTTACTCGTGTTATTTTTTGAATCTTCGAACATTTAAGATCCTGATGCCCTAAGCAAATTTGTCGCTTATATATATATATATATATACTTTAATGAAATTGATTTTATGTTATATAAATAATAATACGAATATGAAATCTATTATATATATTTATTAATATAATATATAATCAAGTTCATTTAGTACTATGTGATAAATTGCTTAAATAATTTACCGCAATTTAGCACTTACATTTATTAATGTAAATTTTAATGCAAAGCATTCTGTAATTTGAGAATGCTTTCGTTACCATTTCTTAGGCCACTTGTATAAGTTAAAGGTCGGCTAAATATGTGTTATGAAATAATGCCATCCTGAACTCAATACAGGTACATGAAAAGATTCCTAGAAACCCCTGCTTTCCTCGCAAGTTTATCAACTTTTGCCTACAAGTCTGCCACATTATATTGTTCTACTCTGACGTGACGGTACCTTTGAAGCTGCTAGTCTTTAGCAGAATGATGAAAAGTCAGCAAAGCAAGAGAATCTTGCTAAGAGCTCACCGTTGATAGGACATCTCTGCCGACTTCTCCTGGGCTTCTCTGGCCGCCTCCTGCGCCTTTTTCTGTGCCTCCTCGACCAGATCTCGCAGTCGCGAATGACGCAACATGAAAAGCTTGCTCCGCTTATTCAACGCCTGCACCAGAAGGTTCTCTTTGTACCGACCCTCCTCCCGACTGCCGTCGCGCAAAAAGGTTACCCCGTAGCCGTCTTTCTTGTTGCTGAACCATTCGCCCTCGTAGCGCAGGCCGTCCGAGCGCTCGGCGATCCCGTAGCCCGACCGCCGATCCTCGTTCCACTGGCCGCTGTACGTCTCCACGACATTCGGTCCCAGCGGCTCGTCGTGGAAGAGGTGGCCCGCCTCCCCGACCTGTCCGCCGGCATGGCCGGTCACCTTGACGCCGAACACCGAGTTGGTCGTCGAGCCGCTGTGCACGGAGCGCAACGAGCCGCCGGATCGGCCGGCGCGACTCGAGAAGAGACCGGCCAGACTCGATCCGCCCGCGCCGACGCCGGCGCCGGCGCCGCCACTCACGCCGCCGGAAGTCGCGGTGCTGATGCCGGCCAGACTGTGGCAGGTGGACAAGTCGCCGGTCGACTTCTGCTTGCGGAGACGGCGGAACAAGTGCTTTCGGAAGGAGAACTTTTTGCCCAACAGACTGACGCCGCCAGTCTCGCTGCCGGAGCCGCTGGAGAAGCCGCTCCGGTAGCCGGACGAAGCGGCCAGACTGGGACTGCCGACAGGATGCGAACTGGGACACGAGCTGGAGCGCAGAACAAAGCCGGATCTCACCTCTTCCAGCCGGCCCTGACGGTCGCCGGCGCCGCAGGCTCCAGTCTCGACGCCGCCGCCGCCGGCGTGTCCGCCGAGTCCGCGCCAGCCACGCTCAGAGTCGGGCGCCGAGGGTAGACTGTTCTGAGATTGTGCCGCTCGCACGGCCCGGTTCTGCTCCGAGGCCAGGCCGTAGGGGGCGGATCGCCGGACGCCCAGACCCTGACGCATGCCTTTCGACCAGGCTCCGGCGTAAATGCCTTTGGCGAGGATGGGAAAGACAGACGGGACAAAAAGGAAGATGGCGCTGAGTATGAACGAACTATTCATGGGCGACAATTCGTGATTCGCATTTTTTGTGGAGTTGTAAGGTGGCAACGATAGTCCCGACTCGGTATCGAATCCTGTTGAGGAGGCTGACGAGGAATGATGAAGAAAAGTCAAGTAGGCAAGAAATGGGCTCACGGGAGACACGACCAAATGTTAGTAAAGTATATCTTGAGGCCTACTAATCTCGTTCTAGAACGAACTGAACTAACTACTTGTAAGTAGGGTTTCG